GCCCCCTTCTCGGCGGCGCGCTTCTCAGCCTGCAGCAGCTGCTGGATGCCTTGCGACTGGCTAGCCATGGCGGCGCTCCCAGCTCCCAAACGCGGCTGCAAGCTCCAGGCCTCGTCACGTGGGTGCGGCTTGTGTCACGTGAGCGGGACAGAACCCGGAAGGGGCCGGCCAGGGAGGTACCGCCAATCAGAGCAGGGGGCGGGGCTTCCCGAGCGGCTCTATTCCTCCCCCGCTCGTGTGAACGATGACGCTAGCGTTTGTATAATGACGTCACGCGTTGTACAACGAATGACAACTGTTTATTATCACTGTTTATTATCACGTCATCGCTGTTTGTTGATGAGCATGCTGATTATGATAAACGTATCCCAGCAGCGCCGTGGCTGGTGCGGCGGCGAGCGATGCGGCACGTGTACCGCCCGGCCGCCCGCAGGGGCTCCCGGCTCTGGGGTTTGACCCGATATAAAGACACCCGGTCCTCGCTCGCTCCCATGGGTCTATCAGTGCAAGGTCAAGTCAATACCATTGACCCGACCTATATTATTGGTTTACAGTGGGCAAGATAAAGCCAATACAATTTAGTCGCGTATTTTTCAGCTCGCCATCACTTTTTCGGCAAAAACAGAAGAATAGAGGATGCCATATGATCGCTTTGAGCTCCCAATACGATCATGGCACATTTAAGACCTGCCAGCGTTGCTCTTCCCTTGCCCAGGCCGAGCCCCCTCCCCTTGTGTCCGCCCGGAGGGGGTCCCTCAGCCTCCCCCGCTGCCCACCCGGCATGAACTGGGGCCTCCCGAGACTGGGGGGCACCGTGTGTAGGTGTCGGGGAGGGGGAGTTGGCGAGTGGCAAGCAGTGACCACCCCTGCAGCTTTGGCGGCAGCCAATCTTCGGGCCCCCCCCCCCCCGTGCCCCCTCTACGCATCACCTGTGCCAGCAGAGGAGCACGGTGGGGCTGGGGGTGGGGAAGGGAGGACACATGGTGAGGAGCAGCGTGGCGCTAGGGTTGCCGACTCTTCAGGAATTAGATATAAATCTCCAGGAGACAGCTGAGAGTCACCTGGGAGATAAATGATAGGGCATTCATTCAAATGCCCCGGACAAGGCTGAACTCCTCAACGAGTTCTTTGCCTCGGTGTTCCTAAGCGAGGGGCACGACAAGTCTCTCACTGGGGCTGTAGAGAGGCAGCAGCAAGGCGCCAGACTTCCATGTGTAGACCCTGAGATGGTGCGGAGTCTCTTGGAAGAACTGGATGCCTTTATGTCGGCAGGCCCGGATGAGCTCCATCCGAGGGTGCTGAAGGCACTGGCCGACATCATTGCACAGCCA